AACAACAACAACAACAACAACAGCGAACAGAAACGAAAGGACTCAACTCCCACCACTGTTCTGTGAGTTGCCTTTCACGTGCGGTTGGGCGGACGTGTCGATGCGCAGACGTTGAGCGCTGTTATTGAAGCACAACAGCACTGGGAGGAGCGGGACTGGTCATCTTCCGCCTTACAGAAACAGTCACGCATTGTACATACAAACGCTACATATTGATACATTTCTGTATTGTTACATTGCTGCATTGACACGTATACACACATACCGAAGGCAAGAAGAAATACAAAAACAACAACAACAACGAAGAAAAAAAAATATTAACACAAGGACAGCCGCACGCAAGAGAGTGAGAGAGGGAGAGAGAAACACACGCAAACAAAAATAAAGGCGCCAGCGTGCGCGTGGGTGGAAAACGCAGCGGGGCGAACAAGAGGGAAGACAGGGACTTGGGCATCCACAGACAGGCATAGAGAACTAGGAGGTAGTGAGTGGAGTAGGAGTAGGGAATAGGGAGGGGGACCGGAGATGTGGTCGTTACTGCGTCGTCCAACCATGGCGCGTGTACTGCGAGCGCCGCCAGTAGCAGCAGCAACATCAACAACAACAACAGCAGCAGCAGCAGGAGCAGGAACACGTTGTATCTCTTCCGTCGCGCCGCAGGACCGCCTTGCGGTGGATGCGTCGCCGCTATCTTCATCAGTATCATCAGTAACACCAGCATCAGCAGCAGTATCCGCCGCTGCTGCTGTGCCGCCGCTTCCGCTACGCCCTGAAGCAGGAGGGATCCCACACACCCCGGTGGATGCTGAAGCGGCAGCGGCGAGGAGCTGCCGCGACGTCAAGGACAACGACGAGTTAGTGGCAGCGCTGCAGCGCGTGCGTGCGGCATTGCAGAAGTACCGCGAGCACCCCCCTACCACTTCTTCTTGTGCCGTTGCTTCTCCAGTTAAAACAACAGAAACAGCAACAGCAGAAGCAACGGCACCGCTTCTCTCGTACGTTGCGGCGGCACGCGACACCGAGCTTCTGGCGTCCGTAGTGCTGCTCCTGGAGAAGGACGCCAGCTTTGGTCCACGTCTGCTCGCCGCATTGCCGGGAGACTCGCTGCGGCTGGCACTCGTCATCGGCACTGCGCAAGAGTACTTCGGGCAGGATGCTGTTGAGGCGCAGCTGCGCGCGGTGGACAAGGACAACGACGACAATATCTCCTCACAAGAGTACGACGCGTGGGTGGAGTCTGCGGTGCGGAAGCGCGCCGCCACGCGGTTCGTCATGCCGCGCGGCAACGCTATGCCCTCACAGGAAGCAGCAACGTCATCCTCATCAGGGTCCGTTTCCTGGCGATTGTGGTACCACATTGCGTGGTCTGCGGCTGTTCCTTTCATGGCGTTCGGCATGCTCGACAACACCATCTTTGTGACGGTTGGTGACACCATCGACAAGAGCTTCGCGGAGGCGTTGGGTCTATCAACTATGGCGGCCGCAGCCCTCGGCGGCGTGGTGTCGGGGACGGCAGGCATTCAAATGCACGGCCTCGCGGACCGCATGACACAACGCTCGCGTCTTGCGCGGGCGCCGAAGTTGACGGCCGCGCAGCGTGCCTCCGCCTCGCATGGAAGCGCCGCACGTGCGGGAAGCACGTTTGGTATGATGCTTGGCCTCGTGCTCGGCATGACACCGCTGCTGTTGCTGTCCTCCCCCGCCTCATAGGGCAGGTATACGTATGAGTATACCTAGATTAGTTGCTTGTATTCATGTTTGTGGAAGGGAGAAAGGCGGAATGGAGGTGAGGTGGTGGTGGTGGTGGTGGTGGGGAAACAACGGACAACTGTGAGGTTGAAATTGCTTTTTTTTTCGTTTCAGAGGCGACACATGGGCGAGCGAGTATATATATATATATATATATATGTCTCTGTGTGTGTGTGTAGGGGATGGGGGGACGGGGGCGATGAATGCCCCGGGATATGTTGAATTGTCCTGCTGTTCCCGTATGCCGTGCGTGTGGCGATGACTGCTGCCATGGTAACGGAGCAGGCTGGCGGGGAGTAACAGCGGGCGCAAATGCAACGCGATACACGCCGTTGCGCCGCACCGACTATCGTTCTCTCACACGTCCTGCTCCAACTCCGTAGTGCTGCTTCTGCTGCTGCCGCACGCGCGTGTGTGTGTGCGTGTGCTTGAGCTTCTTTATATGACTGCAACTTCATCTCACTGGTTTTATTTTCCGTGACTATGTGCAGGCGCCCGGCAGCTACTCGTGCTGTGCGGCCAGCGGCGTCCCTTTCCCTTCTTATCACCAAGAAAACAACAACAACAACAACTCACAAACACAGACACACAGAGGCACGACCCCACAAACGTGTGCGCACAAACGCGGCTCTGTTGCGCGTTCTGTTTTTGCTTTTTTCCCTTTCTGCTTGTGTGGAGGTGCTCTCTCTTTCATTCTGTTCGCTCTCCTCTGTGCGTTTTGGAGAAGGTGCCTCGCACGGCAAGCAAAAGAAAAAAAAAGGAAAAGGAAAAGGAAAAGGGAAACCAACCCTCCCAAAAAAACAACACAAGAACAGCGGCAGTGGCTGTGTGTGACTGGGCCCAAGCACAGCATCGCACACGTGGAACACCGCAGCAGAGGAAAGCCAACGAGAACACAGTTGGAGTCTGAGAGTGGAGGATAGTAGAGACCGAGAGAAGTACAACCCCGTACGGCAGGAACCCGTTTGACGGCGGAAGCAGCAGCATGACGGAGAGCGCATACCTGAAGCACAGCGTGGGTCCGGTGCTCGCCAAGGCAGTGGCGGAGACGGTGCTCGCGCAGCCCAGCAACCCGCAGGAGTACCTCGCACTCTACCTGCTGCACGTGCTGCAGGAGGAGGAGCGCGCCGCCGCCACCGCCGCACGCAAGCAGAAGGTGGAGGAGCAGCGGCAGACTTGGGCTAGAGAGCGCGCCCTGCGTGAGAAGCGCGCCGCTGACACGATACAGCGCTTCTTCCGACAATGCAAGAGCTCGCTGGATGCACGCCGCGCAGAGGAGACGGCGCTGTGGAACAAGTACGAGGATGCCGTCGCGGAGGTGGAGGAGCTGCTGGACAGCGACGAGGCCGCCGCTGCTGCTTCTGGCGGAAGGGCCGAAGACGCAGCGCCACCGCGTCGTGGCGGCGGCGGTGGTGGCGAAGAGGAGGAGGAGGACGAAGGCGCCCTCGAGGATGCCGCGGAAGCGTGCGCGGAAGCCCGCGGCGAGTTCTACAAGGCGCAGCGCTTCATGCTTTACACGCGCAAGGCACTCATCGGGGCGCTGAAGACGCAGCTGCTGGAGCAACGCGAGCGGGTGCGCGTGGAGCAGGACCTCATGCACGGCATCCTCAACGCTACGACAGAGGAGATGCAGGAGCGGGAGGAGGCCGAGGGCGCCGCTGCTGCT